AGGATAAGTGCTTTTCCATCCTTGCCACTAGCCTCTCTCCATCTTGGTACAAACTCCCATGGCCTGCCTAGTTCAGGAGGAGTGTGGTCACCTTGTTTCCTTCCTTTTCCAGGGAAGCTGGAGGGACCCTCTATCAGTTAACTCCTCTCCTACTTGCAGTCTGAATGGTGCATTGGAACAGAGAGGCTGAGGGGTGAATACTTTGAAATGGAAGTGTCTGCATTGGATTCATATGCTAGGAAAGGTTTTCACTTGCTTTCTTAGATCCTTTTGGGTTTATAGTTTGCAGGTCACTGTGTGCAGAAAATACATGTAGACCTTTTGGCTGCACCGTCTTAACTCATGTGTGTCTGTGTTTTGACCTCATACCCCTATGTCCAGTGTGGGGGACTGCACGTTTCAAGTACCATGAGATGCCTGGTTGCATTGATGGTAAAATTTTGGGCTTGGGCTTCAGGAAAGTACGACAGGGGAATAGAAGTCTGGTGACCAGAGGTCATCTCTTTAGGAATGTCTCGGCCCTGAGGTATGAGGTGTGAGACGGCCAAGTATCTGAGATCACAGCGATGTGCTCACATATGACCGGTAGATGGTGCTCTAACAACAAAAATATGGCTAATATCCCTCCGGAGCTGGAAAGGGATTTTAGGAAACCAGTTTCCAGTCAGAGTTATGACCAATTGCTGATTTTTTACATTTCCATTTGTGGTCTCTTTAAGAGGACAGTGGAACTAGGGACACAGGAAGGAGAATGCCCACCAAGTTCCCTTACAAAGAGCATTATGGCAGTGACCTAATCTCAGGTTTTTTTTCCCTAAGGATCCTCCCAGATCTTGAGGGCAGTAGATGTGTTCCCAGTTAAGCATCTTCCCAGCATAGTCCCAGGAGCATTTGGCCATTGATCAGATTCAATTTGAGGATGGTAAGCACAGTATTCCCATAGGCTTAGCGTGACTGTATAGTTTCTTCTCTTGATGGTGAACAATTTGGAACTACCCTATTACTGCCCAGAAGAAATTAGCCTGGATATTAGAAAGAACCATCAAGTGAAAGTCAGAAAAGCTGTTACAAGTCTCAGCTTTGCCTCTCATTAGATGTGGACAAACTACTTAACATTTATGAAACTCTGATTTGTCCACCAAATCAGGGTCATCATACATGCTTGCCAGGCTGGCCTCAGAGGTGTGGAGTGAGGTTTATATAAACTGAAAATTATTAAAGACATAAACTATTATTCAGCCATTAAACCTGTAGCCATCTGAGGGCTGGGAGAAGGGAGACATGGGAGAGCATAAACGCAGCCCACAGATCTCAGAGGGCTCAAGAGCTGTGAAGCCAGGTGGGGGTGAATGTGAGAGAGTGCCTTCCTCCCAGAATTACTGTCCTTAGGCCAAGTCCCTTCCGAAAGCGATTTATGCCGTCATATTTGCCTCTCTGCTCCTGGGCTGCACCCTCCAGGAAGTCGCAGCTTGAACTCCGCTACAGAGGCACCCGTGCTCCCCAGGATACGTTACATCATCCCCAACCATACATTTGTGATTTGTGCCTGCTCGGAAGGCGGGAAGGTAAGCCTCAACTCCAGGGGGCCCTCACATTTCTATGAATAATATCCTGCTGTGGGAATTCTAGGTCCCTAAAGAATTTTAACAGCCACAGAGCACAGAGGACATTGTAGAGAGAGCAAAGGAATCAGTACTGGATCTCTGTTGTATGGGTAACATTGAAGACACAAGTCAAGGGTTCCTGGTCTTCCAAAAACCTCTTCCTGGAAGTAACATGTTGGTGAGCCTTGCTTCTCTGAGCATTAAAAACAGGCATGCCACCTTTCAGCCTTTAAAGGCCAGGACAAGGACCAAAGGGGGTGATATTGCAGCATGAGAATGAGATCCATTATGCATTCCAGCCAGTAAGGTTATACAATTTAATCACAGAAGCAGATGCTTTATTTTTGTCATCATCTATTTTGCCCAATACTTTGGCCACCTGATGGGAAGGGCCAACTCACTGGAAAAGACTCTGAACCTGGGAAAGATTGAGGGCAGGAGGAGAAGGGGGCGACAGAGGATGAGATGGTTGGATGGCATCACTGACTCAGTGGACATGAGTTTAAGCAAACTCCATGAGATAGTGAAGGACAGGGAAGCCTGGTGTGCTGTGGTCTGTGCGGTTGTAAAGAGTCCGACACGACTTAACAAGACTCAACAACACAATTTTGTTCAGGAGTGTGTGCTCAGTTCCTAAAAGAATGCCTTGGGCTTAAAAACATTTGTCCAGTGATTTGAATGAATTTCGTGCTATGGGTTATGGTCCTACTCTGAAAGCATGGATTTGGTCTTCACGGGGAACCTTTTCTAACCCTGTGTAGTTTACAGAGCTATTGAGAGAGTCACTTGTGACTGGTTGGAAACAACTGATAGCTGATGGGCCTTTGGGTTCATAGTACCACCTTCCCTTTCACTCTGACTAGGTGTTCAGACAGAAAAGGACCCTCCAACTAAGGGAGGTAGACGGACAGAGTAAGGCAGTAAGGAAAGCAAAATACTAATTAGAGCTGACTCACCTCAAATCATAATTGGACCCAAAATGGGCTCCCCTGAAGCAAAAGGTCAACCTGCCATGCCCAAAGGAGCAGTGCCTGCGCGGGTGGGGGTTTTCCGGCACCAGAGACTCTCCCTTCACCCACCCCCCCACAGACATTCTCACAGAGCAGAGCTGTGTCAGTGCTCACATGGCCTCGCTCCCCCGCCTCGTCCACGGAGGAACGCACACTGCCTCTCACTCAGACATCACCTGGTCTCCCTTCTCACCAGTTATCTCACACGCAGACACTGCCTTTGACATCTTCGAGAGAACACTCACTCACCCAGGATTTCCAGCCTCTGGGCTCTGGTCACTCTCCTGTTCTCCTCCTCTGCCCCCACCCCCTTCTCCTCCACGGCTCAAGTGGGAACAACTTGGAAGGGCCCGCCTTCAGGCAAAGCAGTGGCAGCTGCTGCCTGTCTTCAGATCAGACCACTGACTCTCGTGGGGAGGGGCGTGGTTGCCAAACCCGGGGAACTCTCTCTCTGGGGCCTGAAGTCCACCTTTCCTTCGTCTGCAGCTCAAACACTAATTCTCCTTTTTCTCCATTGCTGGAGTGGGTTCGAGGAAGTCAGTGCAGGTGACTTGAGGGTAAGAGGTAGGGATGGGCGGATCCCCCTGATTGTTAAGATTTCAAAAAGGTGGTTTTTAGCCCAGAACTCACTTCTGGGGACCCGGTATCTAGACCGCCTTTCCAGAAATGCAGGGTTCTCCGAGAGCCAAATCCAAGAGGCCATCCCAGATTGCGTTTAGAGAGGGGCGGCTCTCTAAACCCAAAAAGATCCCACCAGAGCTGGCTCCAGTGTGGAGACCCCGGAGGTCCTAGCGTCGCTCACGGGGCTTCCAGGCTGCTAAGTGGGGACAGGGGCGGAAGGGAGTGCTGCCTTCTCCCCGGGGAATGCTAGGGCAGTGCGCTCGGAGCCCGGGAGGTGCTGAGACACGGCGACCGGGCCCCGGTGCAAGGCACGCAGAACGCAAAGGTCCAGCGACTGCGCGGGGCACAGCCCCGGCGGGCACTGACGGCGCGAGAGCGTGCGCGCGTGCGTGTGCGCCCCCGCCGGGCCTCGGCTCTGCCCGCGCGGCCAGCTGCACCGGTCTGTCTCCTCTCCGCAGGACTTGGGGAGAGGCGACTCTAGCCTGGTCTTTGGCAGAGGAAGCCCCCTTCCCTCCGGCTACACCGATCAATAAGCCACACCAGCCCCGCGTCCCGGGAGCCCTCCGGCCGCCGTGGGCCGGGGTCCTTCCGGCTCCATCCCGCCCCGCCCGCGCTCGCCGGCCCCGCCCCCGCTTCTCCCGGCGCTCTCGTGCGCGCCTCGCTGCGCCTCTGCGCTCCGCTCGTTCTCCCCTCCTCGCCTTCCCCGGTCTCCCGGTTCCCTATCTTCTTCTCTGCTCCATCGAGGGGGGAGCTGCCGGGGTGGAAGAGGAAGACCGAGTCATCAGTGAGCAAGTTCAGTCCCTGGACAACTCCCGTGCCAGGCCACCGCTGGGCTCGGCTGCAACCTGTTTCTTCCTCGCCCAAGTGCTCGCCCGCCCGCCCGCTCGCTCCCGCCCTCTCCCCGGCGCAGCCGCGGATCGCTGTTGCATGCTGATCCGGGGAGGCGGCGGCGGCGGCTGCGAGCGCTCCGGAGGATGCTGGCATTCGGGCTTCGCTGCTCTCTGGATGCTTTTCAACTTCTCTCCCAAGCGCAGGAGCTTTGAAGTCATTTGTCCCTCTCCGGTTGGATCGACTTCTTATTTTGATATTTTGGGCGTTGCGGTTTACGCAGGAACCTCAATACCGCTCTCATCCCTCCCTCCCTCTCTCCTTCTCCACCTTTGGATGCGTCTGTGCTGGCAGGTTTAAAGACCCAAGTCTTGGTTGTGGAATTTCTTAGATGGACTTGCAGGGGCCGGCGTTATAAAGCATGTCACCGTAACCTCGTCCTTGTCTTTTTTTTTTTTTTAAAGTTCTTTTGTTTTCATTTTCCCCCTCCCCCATCAGTAAATTACCAAACTGTTACCCAGCGGGCCGGTGCCTGCCTCTCTCCCAGAACTAGGTGGTGCGTCTACCAGAAGAGGAGCTATGTTTGAAGAGCAGCCTACTCCACCCCTCTTCTCTCCAGTCCCTGAACGCCACCACACACTGGCATTTTGAAAAAAAAAAATTGTCTCCAGAAACGGAGCACCCCCAAGCTCTCCCCCCCCTTTTTTTCCCTCCTTGAGGAATGGAGCTTCGCAGAGGTTGCATTTAGATTCAACAGTTCAGAGCGGCGGGGTTGCTGCTGCCGCCTCTCCGAAGAGCTCGCGAGGCTCCCCGAGGCGGTGGTCCCCGTGCCCGTCTGGATGCGGCTCTGAGACTCCGTGTGTCTTTCTGCTTGTTGCTGTGTGCGGGTGTTCGGCCACGATCACCTTTGTGTGTCTTCTGTCTGTTTAAACTTCAGGATGGCTCGCTTCGGGGAGGCGGTGGTCGGCAGGCCGGGGTCGGGCGATGGAGACTCGGACCAGAGCAGGAACCGGCAAGGAACCCCCGTGCCGGCCTCAGGGCCGGCGGCCGCCTACAAGCAGTCGAAAGCGCAGAGGGCGCGGACTATGGCTTTGTACAACCCTATTCCCGTCCGGCAGAACTGTTTCACCGTCAACAGATCCCTGTTCATCTTCGGAGAAGATAACATTGTCAGGAAATACGCCAAGAAGCTCATCGATTGGCCATATCCTTTCTTGCCCACCATTACTCCCCTCTCCCCTTTGCATTTCTTCGGGTAAGGGGGGAAGCCTAGCATGGAATTTGCCCCCCATCCCTTTCCTGGTGCCGATTTGCCCCTTTGCTGAAGTGCACTCTATACTTTGGTGCATCTAAGAGGCAAGCATGGTGCCGTAGAAACCGGTGTGGGCACTAGTGTTTTTCAAGGTAAGACTTTTGGTTTCTGATTTTTCCTCCGTGAAAGTCTCCAGCATTCCTGGGTGCATGGTGTTGCAGTGTTTGCCCCTTTGGGGGCTGGGCTTGATTGGATTCTCGGCCCCCTGGTCCCTTCCCAAGCTGCATAGAACTGGTTGCCTCTAATCTCAGGATTTTCTTTCATACTCAGCCCCCTACCGTCCCTTGAAGCCATGCCCTTTGCCCCCATCCCCACCAGCTGGGAAGACACCTACTCCGCCTGGAGGAAAGTCGAAGCTCCGTGAGGATTTATTAGTTTAGGAGCTTCAAGAGCTTGGAGCCCAAACGCTGTAGACACATTGACAAATGGATAAATAACGCAAGCGTTTGGCCTGGGACCCAGCTAACTGCTGGGGATTGAGTTTAAGTTCTGCTGGAAGAGGAGTGAGTGAGTGTGTCCCAGGAGGCAGTCTCTAATGACACAACCCAACAGCTCAGAGTTCGGGTGCTCTTCTCAGTCATGGCAGAGCAGCTCATCAGGGCCCATCCTTTCCTTAATCTGGGTTGGGTACTCCTGCCTCTTCAAGCTTGACCAGCTGAGTACCTTCCCCATTCCCAGGATCAAGGCAGACCTGCTGGGCCTGAATTCATCAGCGGAGGGCTGCATCAGCTGAGCCCAGAGGTGTGCAAGCAATCGTCTCTCTCTAGCTCCATAGGAACTGCTCTCCACAAAGATCTGTTGGTGGCAGTGTTAGGGTGAACGGCAGAGAAGGAGCTCCTTGGCAGGTTTAGTGAAGCGCATCCAATGCAGGCTGCTGATGAGGCATCTCACAGACTCGTTCTTCACTAAGAATATGGGCATCTGGCAAGGTCTTTAGGAATCAGGGGCTGCTGGTGAGGGAATGAGTAGGGAGCAAGCTGGAGGGGGGGGTGGATTATATACGGGGGTAGGCTTGGAGACATGGGACTTTGATGCTCTTGGAGACATTTCTTGGGAGGGATGCACCTGCAAAAAGAGGCCACTCCTCGTCTTCCTTCGCCTTCCTTCCCCCACTCCCAACCTCTAGGTGTGCATGGGGAGGCAGCTGGAGCCACCTTGGGTCTCCAGTATCCTGGAAGCTCGTTGCTTGCTCACCTTGGGGTCTGGGCATCTCGCTGCTGCCCCCACTCCAGCCTCTGGCCTTCGTTTCCTTCCTCCCTAGGTCTCTGCCTCAGCCGCACCGCGATTGGCTGGCGTGTGGGGCTTCTAGGGAGCACCCCTCATTAGAAACGGGGGAGCATCTCTAAGCAGACACTTCCTGCTGCAGCTCGCACCCCTCCCCCCCTTCTTGCACTCCCCTCTCCCTCCCACCCCCACAGAGTGATCCTGGGGCCAGCCGGTGCCAGAGTTAAACCTGTCTGGGGTGAGGGGACGGGCAAGGGGGAAGGGTCCGGCCCCTGCAGTCCCGCCCGACCGGTCCGCTGCACAAAGCGACAGCTCTCATTGTGTTTCGTGCTGCGGCTGGCTGCGAACACTCCGCGAGCCAGGTCCCTACAGATTTTCCCGGCAGGCACCCCGTTCCTCGCCCGCCCATCTTCTACAATTCTCCAAAATTTCCCACCCACCTTGTGCTGCTTTACAGCGCGCCTCTCTTAGGGGCGTGTTTACCCAGACAGGCGCCCTCCCGTTGCCAGGCGGTAGACAAAGCCGCCCAGCCACCCCGCGGGTGGCAGAGTGTGCCCGTGGCCAGCTTTGGCACCTCGGACGGCACCCCGTAACTCCCCTCGCGGCCTGGGCTCCACCGTCCCTCCGGGTTTAGCACCTCGGGCACTTCCGGCGCGGCCCAGGCTCCCTGGCGGGGAAATTCAGCACATTGCCTACACCACGAGGTCGCTGCTTTTCACGTTTTCTCTTCCGCTGTGAAGACGCCGCCTTTCCTAGCAGGCGTTGCGAGCGGCACAAGGTGTGACTGTGGGTTTCACTGCGCTCTTTCCTGTCTTCAGCCAGAATGCGCCAAAAAGTCAAGAGAGACAGTAGGGAGTTAATTTCAGCATCCTGCTCAGAGCCTTGGCCCTGAGCCCTATCTCAGTGGTCCCTTCCACCCCATTGTTGGAAGTTTCGCAGTGGTTCTACTGCATGCAGACTGTAACAGTGATTGGAGAACATCTGCTAAGGTGTGTAGAGGAGCCCTGTTGGCAAATTTAAAATACACCATGTTTGTTTTTTATTCCTGGCTGTACAGTGTAATTGACTAATATATATTCCCTCTGGTGGTGACCATGTGGAAACATTGCATTTCTGGGGGTTCTGCGTGTGCTGTAATAGGGCATCTAAGTTCCTAGTCTCACCTCTCTTCCTTTCTAATTCCTTTCCGGAATTATATTCCTTCTTCTTACTGGGAGTCATTGTGAGCACTGGTTTACCAGCAAAGCTTTGGAGCTCAGCTGTCTGGGTTCAGATCTCAGTTCCTTCACCAGCCCTGTGACCTTGAAAAGTTACTTTTTTTTCTCTGTGACTCAGTTTCCTTATCTGTGAAGTGAAGACGATAATAATGAGTTACTGGGAGAATTAAATGAATTAATATATGTCAGGTTCCTAGAGCACTGCCTAATTACCCGATAAATATTAATAGAGTCCTTAAGAAATTTTAGCATACCAAAGGGAGTGACCTTAGTTCTTGGTGAACTAAGTCTTCTAGGTTTTTGCCTCCCACAGACAGCAAGGGCAGCATCCTCATCACCTAGGGGCTTGTTAAAAATTCAGAATTCCAGATGCAGAGAAGAAACCAGTGGTTATCACAGGGGAGAGGGGCAGAGGGAGGGGTAAAATAGGTGAAGGGGATTAAGAGGTTCAAACTATCAGTTATAAATAAGACACAGGGGTGTAATGTACAACACAGGGAAATATATAAAATACAGTCTATATTTTATAATGGAACTTCCCTGGTGGCTCAGTGATAAAGAATCTGTCTATCAATGTAGGAGACATGGGTTTGATCCCTGGGTGGGGAAGATGCCCTGGAAAAGGAAATGGCAACCCATTCTAATATTCTTGCCTGGGAAATTGCATGGACAAAGGAGCCTGGTGGGCTACAGTCCACAGGGTTGCAGAAGAGTTGGACACAACTTAGCAACTAAACAGCAACATATTTTGTAATAACTTTGTACAACATGTTATCTATAAAAATATCAAATTGCTCTGTTGTACACCTGAAGCTATTATTGTAAATCAACTATACTTCACTTAAAAGCAGTTCGGAATCCTGAGCAACGCTACAGATTTACTGAATCAGAATTTGCATTTTAGTAAGATCCTCAGGTGATTAGTATGCCCATTTGTTTGGGAAATGCTTCTGTGCTCTACGTAGGGCCAGAATTTCACAGGATGTAAGATTCAGGACACATGTTAAGACCTGTTTTGAACTGTCATATTCACATGCAACATGCTTGAGGATTTTGATTATTCATGCAGTGCACCTTCTGAGATAAATACATCTGTTTTTGGCTTCAGAAAGTCACTGGAGAACCAGGAGTTGTTCAGTCACTCAGTCATGTCCAACTCTGTGACCCCATAGACTACAGTACGCCAGGCTTTCCTGTCCTTCAGTATCTTCCGGAGTTTGCTCCGACTCATGTCTGTTGAATCAGTGATGATCCAGCCATCTCGTCCTCTGTTGTCCCCTTCTGCTCCTGCTAGGAGGAGAGCTAGGAGGATAATGTATAATTCTGTGTGCTGTGTTAGTGGTTTCTGATCACTACATTTTACTGGTCTTTAATCACATTGGGCTGAAAAGTTAAATATAAGGAATGATGTAACTTATACTTGGGGGATTCTCTGATTTGGATGGAGGGTGGTAACCTTATCCAGTTATTAATTGGGAAGGTCTTGTACTTGTGGAAAAAAGTGCCTAGGATAACCAGATTTGGCATGAAAAATGGTGGCAGGTCAGCAGCCCACTCTGAATATGTTTCATTTTTCTTGGAAGCTACATCTGCATAGGGAGATAATTTTATTTTCTTATGGCACTCTCTTCTGCAGTGGATACCATAACCTTTTTGAAAATGTTAATCTGATTTAAAATGTGGTATTACATTTTACATGATTCTTCTTTTCTTTCTTGCTCATCTAATAGATCTAACAAAAGGGTTCTCTTTTTCTCAGGGAACTGGCTGCTCTGAATGTCACCCTGCATTTACTGTGTTGTGTGCTTACTGGCGCTAACCCTTCTGTGCCAGGGCCGGTTGCCCTGTAGACCTACAGAGTCTCGCTCATGGTTTGTGAGATGCTCCCCACACATTTTTGCTTTTCCAGGTTAAAAGAGGAAAGAAATAAATGGCATGTCTGACTTTGTGCCATTGAGGAGCAGTGGGGGACTTCTCCCCCACTGATGGCATGGGTCAACTCAGCAGGGAAGCACATGTTTCATGTGGAAATGAACATGGTTTAAAGTAGGAAGATCAAATGTGTTTTTAGCTACTGAGCTAATGAAGCTCATTGTAATGGACCTGCGGATATTCACTCAGGATTTCTTATTGTAGAGAAGTTCATTATAGCCCCAGAGGACTCTGGCTTGAGTCTGAGGTTATGTGCTGTATTGTGGAGAATTTCCCACTGTCAATTGTCCATTATTTTTGGAGGATTTTGGTGAAGATTCCTGAGAGCTTTAGTATTATTGCGTATACCTTTCTCCTGCTTTGTTGCCCATAAATATATTGCGCCTTGAAAGATAGTAGACTGCAATCCTGGCAAGAATTTCAGGTTGGATGTAACTTTAGTGGCTCATGAGTCAGATCACCTTGATTAGGGCAGAGGCTGGCAGTTAACAAGAACAGAGTCTGTAATTGTATGCTATGATCAGATAATGCAGAGAGCCTTCCCATCTTCTGTGTACCTGGACAAGGTGGCAGT